AAGGCCAGGGTGCTGGCATGTCTACCATCTCCATCTAGGAAAATACTGATGACTTGTAGTGTGCTGGAGGGAGAAGGTGGCTGAGGTATCTGTCCTCCGCCTTCCCTGGTCTCAGGGGAGGATCACATCCAGCTGTGCGGCTTGCTAAATTAGAAGCCTGGCTCTCAGCTGGCAGCTGTCAAAGTATGTAGATAAGCCTCTCGCATGGAAAGACTGGGGGATGGGTGACTTTTCCTGCTCCCTCTGTGCTAAGCTCTGTGGGAAGGGCTGTGGGGGGTGCTGTGCACCCACTAAGAACTGCATTGTTTGCTACAGTCTGTGGGTCTTATGGACACAAGTCCTGTTGGTTTTCAGAGGTGGGCCTTTTGAGAGCCAGTCCCTCTGGTGGGTGTCTTGATAGTTGGGGCACTAGATGTGGGGTCCAAACCCTCTGCTCCTCCAGGAGAAGCTGGGAGTTGGGGGTTCCCACCCGAACGTGTGGTGCAGGGTTGGGGATGGGGTTTCCTTCCCGTTTCCACGTGGGTGTTTTCTCAATCATCTGATGTGTTGAGGGCACTCAGCTAGTTTCTGGGTCTCTGTCAGAGGGACTTGCTCTGTGTGTTACTGCACCTTCAGTGTGTCTGTGGGACGAGGGACGCTCAGGAGCCTCCTATGTCACCATCTTGGTCTACTCCTCTCCACCCATTCTTGTAGTGCTTTTACAGCTTCAAGGTGAGGGGGCAGATATGGAGATGAAAGAGGGAGTTGTCATTCATGTGACTAACATTTAATGAGTACCTACTATGTGCTAGGCACTGGGGGTTATAAACATAAAACAGGTACAAACCTGGCACCAATAAAGCTCGGAATTTTAGCGAAGAGCTAGGGAAACATTTTAGAGTGATGCATTCATAACGGAAGTACATACAGCTGTCTGAGAGCTTAGAAGAGGTAGTGGGGTGGGCAGATGGCTTCATGGAGGAGGTGACGTATTATCCGGGTCTTGAGTAGGAGCTTGGCAGGCAGGGATGGGCACACACCCCTTAGACACCATAGATTTATTAGTAAGGGAGAGTCGCTGTTCCCAAACTACCTTGATCAGGTACACCCGCTAAAGATGGTTTCCGTTGTTGCCTTGGGCAGCTCCATTAGAAACCTGGAAGTTTCAGTTTACCTTCCTGTTGAACAGGGACAGTAACATCAACTCCTTAGAACCACTGGGAGAATGAATCAATTTATGCGATTTGCAAGAGCAAGTGTTTACTTATTAGAAAGCCTCCAGAGGGAACCCACGGAAGGAAATGGAACACAGGAGGGAGAACAGCCAGGCGTGAACCAGGAAAAGCAAATGGCGCTGGACCCGCGTTAGCCTGTGATGGATTGATCTTCTGTCACTGCTTTCCCAAACTCCCAACAGTTTCGACTCAAAGCTTGTTCAATATTTTAAAACCGATTTAAAACCAATTTTTCAGTTTGTTTGTTTTTTAAAAAATATTGCATTAATAAAAAATGCATTAAGTTTAGGGTCAAGGAGCCTAACTGTTGGGAAAGCCTGACTGGGCCCCAGGAGACATGGGCTGGCCTGGCTGGATAATGTATTATCAAGACCAGAGACCACTCAGCTTTAAAGGGAAAACAGTGGAGGGCAGCCCAAAACGGCTGACAGGAAAACCCTTAGAAGTGAATTGAATTGAAAGGAAATGTGAAAAGGCCTAATGAGGGTGTTTTGTTAGTATTAGCAAAATTCAAACATGAGGATGTATCGGAAGCCTTCAGTTCCAAGGGGAAGGGGGTGCAATTAGATTTTGATTGTTAGATGTGTGCAGTGTCATCCTTTCAAAGATTTCAAGTCAAGGGAATTGCAGAGGTTATCCCCCTGTAGATCGCTGCCATTTGAGAGAAATGTAGGGAACAAAAAATAAACTGGCTTTCTTCAAATAAAAACCCTTTGTTCTCTTACCAAATGGAATTGGGCCTTTTGATTTGATGAACTAGCTTGTTTGGTTCCTTCTATTCCGTGTCCAAGAGTAGCCGTGGTGGCAATAAGGATAGTTCGGACACTCAGTAAAAGAGCTCATAAAGAGTATACTGGTTATCTGTATTCTTTCCCCTCCTCTGCCCCGCTCCTGGAAGGCTGAGTCCCATGGGCTGTGTCCCTGGGATCCCTTGAGGCTGGCTTTCAGTTGGGTGTGGCCAATGGGAGATGTCAGCACGAGATCAGAGGGTGAGACAGAGAAGTCAAGATGTCTGTCCTCAGTCCCTTCCTGCTTTGGGCCCATTCCTGGCACTGCCGGACTCTCCAATGATTACACTTCCAGTCTGGAGGCCTCCCCTCCATGGTTCCAGCTAACAGGGTTATTCCCCATGTAACGCCGTTTCCTACTTTCGTCCCTTAAGGCGTAGGGTAGTCATGGGTCCCCACTGATGCTGGACTCTGAGGCTCCCCACATCAATTTTGGCTCTTGTGACCCTACCCCACCACTGTAGGTCATCCATGACCCTTCAGTTAAAATCTCTTCGTGTGCCCATCTGAGTAGGATTCTCTTTCCTGTGGGATCCTGAATGAATCAGAGACAAGAAAAAATGGCAGCAAACGACCCGAGTAGTTGCCTTCTGTTCGCAGGCAATGGTGGACCAGCAGACTTTTTCAGTTTGGTTGGCTGACTTGCTTTGTTTTCAAATAAGAGGCGTATGAGGCTGGCCCCGTGATCAGAGCTAGAGGCAGGAAGGGGCCTCATTTCAGGGAGGTCTTGCTGCAGGGCTGTCTCTTCTTGAATTCTTTCTTGGTTAACCCCCTCCTGAATTAACTATTCCTCCTCTGAATTCCCATCATATCGATGGTTTGTGCAACCCTGTGGCATTTAATAAAATAATATAAACTCCAGGGACTACAACAAACCTAACTTATTATAGGTGTTTAATACACATTTCTTGAATGAACACATGTCTCTTTCTTTAGAGATGCCACCGTCACTCGACAAACATCTACTGAATGTCTGTGCACCAGACACTCTCTTGGGCCTGGGGATGCACGGATGGAGAGAACACAGTCCAGCTGAAGAGATTCTTGCCTCTGTACCTGTGTCCACGCAGCGCCCTCTGCTGGAAGGCTCTTCATCATCGCTGTCTCACTGTCCTCTTGACAAACTCTGACCCACCTTCCAGGGCTTTTCCAGGGAAGCATTATACAAAGCTATACATTTGCTAACCTTTGGTTTAGTGTATTACGATCATTATTTATTCCCTACGAGGCTCTCCTATGAGCTTCTCAAGAGAAATACACTTATCTGTATTTTTCCAGCAGGATCACTGGCCTGTACAAACACGCGATTGAATGTCTGCTGACGGGTGGTGTTGCAGACACAGGCCCCTGGTGCTGCTCATCTGTGCTTAAGGCCGGCTCCAACTGTCTTTCTCCCACTTTTCCAAGTTGACTATTAAGAGTGTAATGGCTTTTTATTTTCTTCCTAATTGGGACTACATCACACTTTAACACCAAGGCTGGTTGGCGCCTCCCGACTGAAGAATGAAGGGGAGTGATTATTGGATGGGTAGGGAACCTGGACAACTTTGCGTCAAGCCACGCTCTTCGCCTTCCTGCTACTGCTTTAACAGGAATAGATGTTAGGGTATTGCTCCTTGGAAGCCTCTGTCCATGTTTGTGATAAAAAAAAACACGTGGATGTAAACTGCGGACCAGCTCTATTTCCCGGAGCCGCAGCTTTAGCCTTCTGGGCTACAGCGACCCGGAGGCAAGGCAGGGTCTCAGGGTTATTGTTATTCCTGACAGGAGTCCCCAGTCGGTTCCCATTTGAATGGTCCTGAGCTAAAATAAAGCCAGTAGAAAGAGCCTTTGCTGCCTCTGCTATAGAAATGGCACCTCAGTCGTCAAAATCCCAGTATGCTCAGGGCTAACATTTTGGGAGCTGATAAGAAGACCTAAATTCACTAATTTTGTTTATTTAGTTATGCTAATACTGAGTAGATATATCCACAGAATACTTTACAGGGATACACTTGTATATACTCTGATTTTAGAGCATTCAGATATTCAAAATTCTCTACTGTAAAATTAAAATGTCCTGGAATTTCTCTGTTGATTTATGAGGTTCCTGTCAATAAAATGACTAAAGGATTTATCTGGGTGGATTTGGTGTTTAAACCCTTGTTAACATCTGTATCAGGAGAAAATAATGAGCAAATTCATCAAGTGTGCTGAAGTTTTTATTCCTTTCCCTTAAGGTTTGGTTGATTATAATTAATAAATAACAGAAAATGTATTTGCATTTCCTTAAGCCTGATATAGCACATCAGAGAGTAAGGCTCAGCGAAAAACGTTTTTTACCTAATCAAGGCTGAAATACAATTTAGCATACTTCATGATATTGCTAAGCAATAATGATATCCTTGCATCATATAATAAATACAGTAAAACCTTGGATTGCGAGTAACATGGCTTGCGAGTGTTCTGCAAGATGAACAAACATTTCTAATGCATTTTAACGTGGTAAACGAGTGATGTCTTGCAATATGAGTAGTTTGTTTCTGGAACGGATTCTGCTCACAAACCAAGGTATTACTGTACTTCTATGATTTCATTCATGGAGATAATTCTTGCCAAAGATTCTAAGCAAAGACACTTTTGAAAAAATAAATATGGGGTTAGCATTGATTTCTCTGATTTAGAGGTTGTTAAATTGTTTTACGATTTAGTCTACAGAGTCCTCTGATTGAGCTAGGTTCCTCACCCCTATTCCATACACTGCTGGGGAAAAACTGTCATGGAAGTACTGACACATCCCAAACGGCCACTGGGAAGTCTACGGTCTACCTGGAGGAGGGGAGTGGTTCTTGGAAGAACTGTGATGGTGGACAAGCCACGACTGCATTCCCATGTCTGTAGGCTACCAGTCTGGTTCCTGTTTTTTCAGAGTGCAACCCTCCATGGTCTTAGGAAACCGCGATTGTCATCTCCACCCATACTCTCAGCCCTACTCAGAGGAAGGAAGAGGGCGCTTTACCTGAGGAACGGCTCCTGAGGCCAGGGCGCTGCATTCGCCTTCATGGTACGCGTCCTTACAGTTCCGGCAAAAGACGAACTGCAGAAGAACACACACGCGTTAGAGACGGGCTTGCTGGTTGCATTTGGACATGACGTGTCTTTCCTTTTCTAAGCTCATCTTATTTATGCCTCTAGCTGGTGTGATGGTTTCTGTGCCACATTAGTGTTTGCAAAGAGAAATAAAGTTATATTCAGATGGAATTGTTCACACTTTACTAAAGAATGTTCCAAGCACTGTAGTAGGGTTTTCAAGATGGGGTCACATTTCCTTTCTTCAAGATGCTTCTGGTCTAGTAGAAGACACAATAATGCAAATAAATAGCTGTAGTAAAGTGTTATTGGTGTTAGAATGTGAGGAAAACAATTTCATTCAAGAATTTCACATCTAACATTTGTTTACGTACATAGAAGATGGATGTGTCCATGTTAATGGACTTATTTCTGTATTGAAAGCCTATTGTGGAATGAAGAAATAGGCTGTTACGGGCTGAACTGTATCCCTCACAAATTCACATGTTAGTTTTTTTTTTTTCCCCTCAAGGTATAAAACTTTACTTTCATTTCTTATTGAGGTATAGTTGATGTACAACATTATATTAGTTTCAGGTGGACGACCTAATTCATTATTTGTATACACTGCAACATGATCACCACTGTAACTCTAGTTAACATCTGTCACCATACATAGTTACAGAATTTTTTTCTTGTGATGAGATCTTTGAAGGCCCACTGCTGTCTTAGGCAATTTCGAATACGTGATACAGTGTTAGTAACTACAATCACCACGCTGTGCACACATCCCCGGGACCGACTTAGTTATAACTGGAAGTTAGTTCCTTTGGCCGCCCTTCACCCATTTTGCCCACCCCCTGCCCCCCACCTTGGTGACCAGCAAACTGGTATCTGTGAGCTTGGTGTTTGCTTGTTTTTAGATGCCACATACAAGTAAGATCGTACTGTCCTTGTCCTTCTCTGTCTGACATACTTCATTTAGCATAATGCTCTCAAGTTCCACCCATGTTGTGAATGGTAAGATTTCATTCCTTTTATAACTGAGCTGTATTCAAATATATATATTTCTTTCCTCATTCATCCATCTATGGACACTCACGTCATTCCCATATCTTGGTATATAATTAGTCATAGCAGTCTCTTATGATCCTTTGTATTTCTGTGTTAACAGTGGTAACGTCTCCTCTTTCATTTCTGATATTACTTATTTGAGTCCTAACTCGTTTACCCTTCGTAAGTCTAGCCAAAGGTTTGTCCATCAAATCATATGTTGGAGTCTTAACCCCCCAGTACCTCAGAATGGGGCTGTATTTAGAGACAGAGCCTTTAAATTGGCAAATGAGGTATAATGAAGTCATTCGAGTGAGCCCCAACCCAATCTGACTGGTGTCCTTAGAAGAAGAGGTCAGGACACAGACACACACAGTGAGAAGGCAGCCAGCTAGCTGCGAGCCACGGAGAGAGGCCTCGGGAGAAACCAGCCCTGCCAATACCCAGTTCTGGAGGTTTTAGCCTCCAGCGCTGTGAGACGTGCATTTCTGCCGTTGAAGCCACCCAGGCTGTGGCTCTTTGTTATGGCTGCCTCAGGAGGTGAATCCATGGATCTTCTCACCGGGCGACAGAGCACTTTTTAGTGTTCACATATCACAGGACTGAGGAGACCAACTACGGAGTCAGCTGCCCTCCACCCTTCATCTTACAGAGGAGGAAGCTGGAAGGGGACGCTGTCCCACCGCTGCCTGGGGACACTGGTGTCACCGGACAAGCTCCAGGGCGTCCTTCATCGTCGCCAGCCATGCTCTAGAGCAGCGGTTCTCAACCTTCCTGATGCCGCGACCCCTTAATCCAGTTCCTCATGTTGTGGCGACCCCCAACCATAAAATTATTTTTGTTGCTACTCTAGAACTGTAATTTTGCTACTGTTATGAATCGTAATGTAAGTATCTTTTTGTTTTCCGATGGTCTTAGGCGACCCCTGTGAAAGGGTCGTTCGACCCCCAAAGGGGTCGCGACCCACAGGTTGAGAGCCGCTGCTCTAGAGGTTGCGGTCTGGCACGTGGGATTAGAGTCAGCATCCCATCAGTGCCAACCAAGACACCTTGGGCAAACCACCTTGGTGTCTGTGCCTCAGTTTCTCCCTCTGAAAAACCAGAATTGCTACGATAACTATTTCTTGTGACCATTGCGAGAGGTAGGTGGCACAGCCTGTGGTAACTGGCTACATCCATACCGGGCACGTGACATGTTCTGAACTTGAAGGAGATGTCAGTCAGGAGCTGCTTTTCCCCTTCCTCACGTCACAGCTGAAGAAGGGGTTGCTTCACTAGGAAAGAGGTTACCTTCTCAAACGTTTCTTTCACTAGTTGGGGGAGCAACGTCCCTCATGGCAGAATCTGTGTTCAGAGAAGACGTTCTAACAGAGAGGAGGGCACGGCCAATGAGGATGGTGTGGGGGCGACAGTGTGGGTTCAGAGAAGGGGCCCGGAGTGACCTGCTGCTCCTACGGTGAGGAGTAGGCTCTGTCCCTCCTGCCTAAACATGGATGTGCTGACTGCCCGACCAGTAACATATGCTGCAAGTGATGATGTGCCACTTCTGGGTCGCGGTCTTAAGGAAGTGGCTGCTTATCTCTTGGGATGCTTGCTCTTGAAGCCCAGGAGCCCATGAAGAGGCTCCGTGGAGAGGGGCTGGGGCCCGTGGCCTACAGCCCTGGCTGAGATTCCAGCAGACAGCCGGCACCCCTTGCCAGCCATGTGTGTGCCACATCTCATCCCTGGCTGAGCTGCCCCAGCTGACCCCACGTGGAACAGAGACAAACTGTCTTCACAGGACCCTACCCAAGTACAGGTTTGTGGGAAAAAAAAACAAAATAAATTAAAACAGGAACAAGATCATTGCTGTTTGAACTCATTAAGCTTTGGAGTGTTTTTTACATAGCAATAGAGAGCTGATGTGGCTATGGTCCCGAACGTCGGTCTGGAAGACTCAAAAAGTTCGAGAGGCTTGAAAGCTCTCAAATTAATATATTCTATAGCACAAGCCAGGACGTTAGCTCCGTTTTGCTTAAAATAAGACTGATTTGAACTGATCAACAAAACCCAGAGCAAACTAGAAAAAACCAGCTTTATCCCCAAATACGTCACCATTACACCTTGCCTCAAAAGAATGGCCCATCCAATACAGTTTTTCCTTCGTGTTGTCTTCCCAAGGAAACAGGTTTCCCTCCTCCCCGACATCCAAGTTCTTGCTTTGACAGCTCATCGGAAAATTGTTTTTATCCCAGGGCACAAGAAACAAGAAAGGCAAGTATTTTCTAAGGAAGAAGCCTCTTCTACAGATATGCCACAAACTATCTCCCAGCTATTACTTTTCAGAGTATTAAAGGCTTATTATCTTTTCTCACAGCAAAGAGACTGAACCAAAATTTTGTGGGGTATAAACTGCTTAAACATTCAGGTTGGTGGGAGAGGGATGCGTTAGGATGTCATCACACAGAACACCAATATCACCAGGGCTGACTGTCTGACATTTTTATTTCCCCTGAATTGAAAGCTAATCCAGTGAATAGGGAATGAATTGGATACTTGAGTTCCTGCTTCAGTTTTTTTTTTTTTTTGCCTGTATTTACTCATCTTTGAGTCTGCCTCAGACCTATCATTCTGTTCTATGTGCTGCATTGAAAACCTGTGGGCTGAACTGTTCAGTCATTGGGAAGAGCTCACGATGTGATTCTACCCCACTGCTTTCTATGGAAACAAGTCTGAGCTCTTGACATGACAGGGAAAACGCTTCACATCTTATTAGCTAGTGGATGAGATATAAAATCAGCTTCATGGTAGACGAACGCCCTGGAGGTTGATCAGTTTGTCAGAATAAATAGGCCTTTCCTGACACAAAGACATTAAACTCCCTTTCACACTGGTATTACAAAGAATGGACTGTAAAAAAAAAAAAAAGAATGGAAAAGAAAGAGCATAGAAAAATTAAACCCTCACCAGTTCGGAATGGCAAAAGGCAAGCAAAAGTTGCAAGAATATGGTGGTGATAATTTAACATTAATGCACTTATTAATTTGCTTCTATTTAAAGAGTATAACTTTAATTATATCAGGCAATGGGCTTCCTACTCAAATAACTCGAGTCTGTCTCATACAAATGAGGAAACATTTAGAAGGTATGATTTGATCATGAAAATGGTTGAGTTTTGAATTATGCATTCCAGAACTCAAGACTTATTAATGAAGTGCTTATACAAATGCTTACCCCTCAGTTCCCAAACTGTGTGCCAAGGCACCCTGGTGTGCCACAATAAACTCACAGGGGTACGTGAGATATTTCACATTTTTGAGGAAAACATGGTGATACTCAGCATGTGTTAAACACTCTGTGAATTACTAACTCAAGGAAGTTCACAGTTATGGAGATTGTGTTTGATGACCACCTATCTTTGCAAAGCTGGGTTTTTGGATGTTACTGTGATTAAAAGAACAAAACAAAACAAAAACAAAAATAAAGAAACCCACAACTACCACATCTATTTGGAACAGGAGATGTAGTCATTTAAGAATGAAATGAAAATCTTTTTTCTTTCAATTTATGTGAACTATTTTCTTCAAATGACTGTTAAGGTGTTAAGACATGAATTCTTGTTATGTTACTTGGACCTAAACCTTTAATAAACAAAACTGTTAGGCATTACCTTCAGCCTAGAAGCACAGAAAAACTTACTGAGCTGCTAAGGGCATGGCGAATAGAGGGAGTCTGAGGAACTTTGGCTGAGGCAGATACAAAACTCCTTGAGATACTTACTATCTTGGGCCACTTTGCAAACATGCCAATGGCACAGACATTTCTAGAGAAATAGCTTGAGGAGAAGGCAGATCTGGCTCCAGTATCTTCACATTCACTCTGTTTACCTGTATGTCTCTTCTCTGGGCATGTGGATCTTACGTTAACCAGTAATGTAGAAGACTGTCATTTACCCAGAGACTTGCTATTAACTAACCATGGCCTCACATTGGCTGAT